AAAAAAAAAAGGTATTTAAGTCTGCTCATAATAAAAGCAAATTAAAACTGATATACCAGTTTTTCGACTATCAGATTCGCAAAAGCCAGAAATTGATGGTTTAGTGTGTTGGCTAGGCTGTAACATCCATGATCATTAACTGCTGGTGGGAGTGCAAAGCAGGACACATATAGAATGTTGCATAGCAATACCCATAAAATCTCAAAGGCGTACCTTTGGCCCAGAATTCTCATTTCTGGGGAATCAGCCTACAGATATTACATGTAAAAAGGAATCTAGGTAGCTATTGATTATAAGACACATCATTAGGGCTGGGCGTGGTGGCTCACACCTAGAATCCCAGCACTTTGGGAGGCTGAGGCGGGTGGAACACGAGGTCAAGAGATCAAGACCATCCTGGCCAACATGGTGAAACCCCGTCTCTACTAAAAATACAAAAATTGGCTGGGTGTGGTGGTGGGCACCTGTAGTCCCAGCTACTCGGGAGGCTGAGGCAGGAGAATCACTTGAACCTGGGAAGTGGAGGTTGTAGTGAGCCGAGATTATACCACTACACTACAGCCTGGCGACAGAGCAAGACTCCATCTCAAAAAAAAAAAAAAATTAGTTTCATGAAAACCTAAGGAAAAAATGATCTATTACAGCATCAAATGTAAGATGCACCCACATTTCAGAGATGTTCAAATATGAAGTGAATTTTGAATTGAAGCAATACTGTATTTGTGCACATGCCACATGATATACAAGATGAACTACTCTAGCAATTTTTTATTCTGCCCAAAGAAATAGATGGGCAACAACCTACATGTCCGTCAATATATTCCTGGTTAAGTAAATTTCGACATAACCTCAGAATGGAATAAAATGCCACTTTAAAAAATAATGAGGAAATACAGTGGTTTGGAAGGGTCAACATATGTTCTTAATGAGAAAGCAATGTATAAACCAGTAAATATAATATGCTGACTTCTGTGAATAAATAAAACAAGTAAACCCAGATTTATATGTGCCTGTGTACATGTAAGGAAACTAGAAGGGCGGAAGGGAAATTGTGGCTATTAGAGGTCATGGTTGGTACTGGATGGAGGAAAACAAGAATGGAAGGCTTTTCACTGTATATTTTATATATTTTTTGGCTTGTGAATGGATTTTTTTTATACCAAAAAACTTTAAAAATTAAAAATTGAAAGAAAAAAGTCCAGAAATTTGATGTTCTTGTAAACATGATTTATCACATAATATGTACATTTACTTTGCTTGTCACTTGAAATGTCTAAGAAAACACAAAATCAATCTTAAACTAGAAACTTCTATTGAATATTACATGAAGAGAGCACATATTCCGACAATTTCAAGTTCTTTTGATAGCCTTCTAGTCCCAATAACTCAGCGTTAACGTCTTATTCTGTTCAGCACTATCTGATAATTTCTTTCATCCTCATGGACTCTAGTATTGGTGATTTTTCATCAAGTCTCAGTTTTATAAAACCATCCTTTACTTTGTAATAAAGCAATGTTGAGAGACATTTTCCGTAATGCAGGGGGAAAAATGTAGATCAATCACAAACTCAAATAATGTTACAGTTATAATGCTTTGGACATTTTTTTCTATTTCTTCTGTGATGCTTTTTCAAGATAAGCTTCCCCCTCCCCCCTTTTTTCCCCTCCACCTGTGCACTGTCTTATCACAATATACTCTTGACTTCTGAAAATCAAGTTGCAGGATTGGTATAACTGGAATGCAGAGGTTCTCTTGAAGTAGTGTCACCACATAACTATTCTCTATTGATAAACTTATCACAACCAAGTTCTTCTATCAGAGGGTTGATAACTTCAGATGCAGTCAGAGCTATCGTAAAGGTTAAAATATCGAGGTCCACCCTGTGAGGATTTCGCTGATATTCCGCATCAAACGCTGCTTCCCTTGCTCTGCAGGCTTCCACGAATCGCCTGCGGCGTTCTTCAAGCTCTTGTATTCTGCCGGGAGCAATCGGGTAATTTTCCAGATAGTGGCGGAGAAACTGCTGGTAATTTATTCCTAAAACGCTAAGTGGGTGGCGGAGACGGAGATAGGGCAACGCAGCCAGGCCTCCGTTCCCGTGCCTGGACCTGGGCCTGCCCTCGGGACCCTCTTCGTCCACCGGCTCCCCCAGCAAGCGGGCGACCTCCGCCATCCGGGCTTCTCTGGCT